AAGTCAATTTTGAGGGTGAAAATGTTTTTTTTTTCCCTTTCTTTGGAGCTTATCTTACCCTTACTCTGCAAGTTTCATTGGCTGAAGTCTTCATCGAGGAGGCTGGACCTTCTTCCAATTCAGGAGCTTACCCTTTAAAATTGAAAAAGACAGCGATGCCATCCTCCGAGAAGAAAATTATTTTAAAATTTGTTATTATTATTAATTAGTTAATTAAAATAAAAATTTAATATAATATATCATTTTTTAAATATATGTGTAATCAACCTGCAAATAAGCTTAAAAAATCAAATTAAATAAATAATTTAGAAGTTACCTGAAGGTAACCTGAAGTAACCTACAAAATAGAGTAATTGCACTTTTTTTGTAAGTTTAAGGTTTTAATTGGAGGTTTTTGAAGTTGAAGGGCTTAATTACACATTTGAGTATAGTTTGAGGGCTTATTTGACCGTTATACCTAATTGTTTTCACATTTGGAGGGAAAATCTTTGGGAATTACATGAATATATTTATAAATTAATATGAATAGAATATATGTTTTCACATTTGGAGGGAAATTTTTGGGACAATTATTTTGCTTTAATATATATAGAGATAGAGATGATTTTAAACTATTGGGGCTAATTTACGACTCTATTGGGCTTGAAAATACTTGAAAACTCCTCCTTTTATACTATGGATTGATATGATGATGATAGGAGACCGTATGATATTATGATGATATGATTTGACATGGATATAATATGATATAATTATGCCGATGAGATTACACTTACTATGATATTATGCCGATATATTTATATTAGGAAAATCATAAATGCTTCGACCAAATTAGAAAATAAAAAAATTAATTACTTAAGGCAGCTTATGGGTTTGTATGCGTTGGCTGATGAGAAGATGCAAGAGCTGGAGAAGAGGAAGCAACATCATCTGCAGCAGCGTAGTGTCCCTCCTCCGCCAGCAACTGCATCTTGGTTCGTTCCGGCCATGGCGCCTCCGCCGGCAAACGGCGGCGGTGGGGGTGAGGGTACCCATCATGACATGATCTTCTCTGATGCTGATTTCAATCAAGTTTGGCCTTACAATTTCTCATCATCTTTTTAAACTCGATCACTATAATGAGTTATCATTGCAATTTGCCTTTAATTCTGATCTTGTCATGTTTGCCTTTAATTGTAATGTTTCTTAGAACTTGTTTGAGTTGAAGTATGCTGTTGCAGTGTTACTTTTGTGTGTTTTTTTTTTTTTTTTTTTTTTTTTTTTTTAATGAATGAGGAGATGGAGAAAGCATGTGCACCGTATTTGCTGCATTGTCACCGATGGCAGCGCAATTACTATATTATCGTGCACGTGTCGTGCAATTCATGTAGTTATAAGTGTCATTCTATATAGTAAAATTCACATATGTGTAAATCTGTGTAAGAATTCACATCACTTTAGGGCTTTACGCCCAATATAGTAAATTTCGTGTAAAGTCAAAATTCAATCCGATCCCTATAATTTAACATAGATTCAAAGTTCAGTTCACATAAATCTGTCCAACTAACAACATATATATGTCCTAATCGAATCGTCTTCTATAGTCTTTTCAAGCACAACCTATTGCAATTATTCCTTCATTTTTGTAATTAGAAATTTTTTGTTTTTGTTTCTCATTTTGTCTTCCCCAAATAATTCATCAATATTTTTTGAACTTTTACCAAAAAAAAAAAAAAGTTGTTTGAATTAATTGTGAAAGAAAAGCTTTAGAATCCACACTTTAATTGCTAGATTTTTGCTTAGATTTTATGGTTTTTGTGAGTTGATTCTTCAAGTGGGGATATGGATAACAGGCACAGGTAGGGCAACGACACCAGAGAGGAGAGGTCTACTTGTGAAGAGTCGGTGGCTTAGTAGTAGGTTCACAAACATTAATTGTTAACATTGATGGAAAAAGCTTGTGCGCCACTTTTGCGACATCGTCACCGTTTGGTGGCATGATTACAAGCGGAGTATCTACAAAAAAATTTGGTTTTCTTGATTTAATTCTAACGTTTTCAAGAGTGCTAATCCTGTGGTTATGAATTTTAGAGGGAGACCAGTGATGTTTGACAAGCTGCCTAGGTTTATTGTTCATAAGCATGGTGTACCATTTGATTTTTCAAGGCTAGTTGCAGTGGTGGCACTCCCATCAACTGGTAACCCCCACCTCCCCTTGTAGCAGTAACACCCCTATTGCCTGCACTACACTGCATGCTGCGCTCCGTCCTTTAATAATTTTTTAATTTGTTACAAATGAGTATATAGTTAAATATTTATTATTCATAATATTCATATTATATTATTTTTACATCTAACTAATTTATATGAGTCAATGCAAGTTACACTACAAAATTATATCCGTATTCTCTATGCTCGTAAAGTTGTACATCATGTTAAAAATATTGTACTTCATTTTTTCCAAACAAAAAATATCCTTACACCGTTAAATACATCCATTACCATATAGCGTGATGGCCATCTCGATTAACATTCCAAATGGATGGTCATATGTTTGAACCCTGGTGGAGGAGGTTTTAGATTCTTTGCCCTAAAAATGTTTGATAAAGTATAGTCGTATAGAATAGATACTACTTTCTAAAGAATCAGAAGTGTGTTAATTAAATAGTAAATAATAAATCAGTTAACCTAATTAGCATTTTCATTTTGCATTTTCACATTTGGTAATTTGGATCCCCAATTTAGAAATCTCATTATGGTATAACATAATTACTTAAACGGGCACCATAATCTATTTATATTCCAAGAAAAATCTTAATTGGTTAGCATATTTGGTAATTTCGATGACGAATTTAGAAATCTCATTATTGTATAACATAATTACTTAAACCTGGTACCAAAGTTATCTATTTATAAATACACGGATAAAAGTTTGATATATATAATAAATTATTATAAAAGCAGTCTGGTCGGTAGAGGTGTTACCAAGAATTCAAGCAACCATGCATGCAAGTGGAGGAATAAAAGTTGGTCATCATTTTAAGTTGATGATGATGAGTGAAAGGGAGAGAAAACGGGTGATTGGACGGAAGAAGGCGGCGTTATTGAAGACTATAACGTGATAACTATAAACACATAAACACCTAAAATGTGGAGGTAAACTTTTAAAAGTTTTCAAAAATTATGACTACTTTTGACAAAAACTCAAAATATTCAAAATCACTAAAAGAAATGCATGTATTTGTGTGTAATAATTTGACTTTGGTGGTAGAAAATTTTTTACCAACCAGTTATATATTGATGAACATAGTTAAATATTTATTATTAATAATATCCATATTATATACTGTATTTATTTTTACATCTAATAACTAAGTTATAAGAGTCAATGCATGTTACACCACTATATGATGTTCATATTCTTTGTGTTCGTAAAGTTGTACATCATGTTATAAATGTTGTATTTTATATTTTCAGACATAAAATATCCTTACACCATTAAATATATGTTAATTAAATATTAAATAATAACTCAATTTAGAAAAATAGTAAATCAATTTCGAAAATAACAGATGATATGGAATCAATAATAATGTAACAAAAAATGGGGATGGAGATTAGTTGAGTATGGTAGAGCTTAAGCGTGACTCCAACAGTTAGGGCATGCCCAGAACATCGTGTGGTCTGACCTAAAGAAATAAAATAACCTAGAATGCTATATATTAAGTAAACAAATTTAGTATAATTGAACAAATTATTGACTATCAACTTTTAATAATATATATATATTTGGTTAGGGACTATGTAGAATTTATTAAATTTGGTCCTTCCATTAGAGTATTATATTCAAAATGTTAAGACAAATAAGGAGTGTTAAAACAAAAACAAGACAAACTTGTATGTGTACACTCCTTTAGTTCCCATGTTTTAATTAACTTCGGCCAGTTTAGGTCCTATTATTGAACACGACTATCAAATGTATATTTTGGGAGGAAGGTTAGAATTTGTAGAGGCTAGTACAAAGAGAAGCGTTATTGTTGCCAACGACTTTGTGGTCTAGTGGCATGGAGTGACTCTTTTAAATGGAAGGTCATGAATTCAATTCTCGGCTGTACTGACTTTCTCCCTATACTTATATTTGGAAGTGTGCCAATTGCCCCTCAAAAATGACACCCCTACTAGCCATGCCATTGATCCTAAGTCATGTGGCTGCAATTTTTTATCTAACATTTAGATTTCTTCTTTTGTTCCAATTGCCCTCAATTTTTAAAAAAATTACAAGTTTGCCATTGAATATATTGAGTAGTGAAAAACCTACAAGCTAGCACAATGTTTGTCCCGTTGACAATCGGAGTAGCTGAAACCAGATCTCTGACTCTCATGCAAATCTACTCCGCTGCCAAGGAATAAGAAAGTGACTATTCGAGGCAAAGTTCTTACCCTTTATGATTTATGTCGATTTGTCTATCGCATGAAAAGAAGAGGGGAAGGAGGGAACGAGAATAGAGAGAAGAAGGTTATTATTTCTAGTAAAAGATTAACAGACATAAGCAAAATATATACTCTAGACATAGAGCTTGGCAGTTATAACTGCCCAGAGATAAGAAAGACATAAAAGTCCTCAAAATCATTTTTCATCATCTAATACCCCCCCATAAACTAGAGCATATAGGTCCTTGATGCCCAGTTTAGATTTGAAGAGCTGAAACGCAGTAGAGGGCAGAGCTTTGGTAAGTCCATCTGCAATTTGCGAAGATGAAGGAACGGGTAACAGTTTGATTAGGCCTTGATTGAGTCTTTCACGGACAATGTAAGTCACTGAGCAGAGATGTTATCCACTGTGTCTCATATACAGTTGATGCAAGGGAACGATACTCTGCTTCTGAGGAGGAACGTAAGACAGTCATTTGCTTCTTTGATCGCTAGGAGATGAGAGCAGATCCTAGGAAAATGCAGAATCCCGTAATGGATTTGCGCGATTCTGGATAAGAAGCCCAGTCAGAGTCTGCAAAGACATGCAGCTAAATGCTGCTATTTGCTGGATACAATAGACCTTGCCCAGGAGCTCCCTTAATGTAACAAAGAACACGGTGAGCAGCACTCATGTGTTCTGAAGTTGGAGAGTCCACAAATTGACTCAATTGTTGAGTGGCATATGTAAGATCCGGCCTTGTAGCCATCAAATATAATAAGCGACCAACTAGTCGTCTGTAGGGAGCTGCATCACTAAGAGAAGAGCCATTTTCTTTGGTTAATCTCTGTCCAGGAACCATTGGGGTGGCAACTGGTTTGCAGTTGAGAAAACCGGGCTCTTCTAAAATATCGAGGGCATATTTCCTTTGACATATATTTAATCCACTGGTATTCATATGAGCTTCAATGCCCAGAAAGTACCCCAAGCTTCCCAAGTCCTTAATCTTGAACTCACTGTCAAGGAAAGATTTGAGGTCTTGAATGAGTGTTAGACTGGAACTGGTGATAAGAATGTCATCTACGTATACAAGGATAACTATGAAGGATGCACCATTGCCCGTAGTAAATAGGGATGGATCAAATTTCGATTGCTCAAAACCTTTGTGAATTAGTGCGGCACTCAACTTAGCATTCCACTGGTAGCTAGCTTGCTTTAGGCCATAAAGCATCGTAGGAGCTTGCATACTTGGCCAGTGTCCTGCTCTTGGAAGCCAGGAGGAAGCACCATGTAGACCTCCTCATCTAAACCCCATGGAGGAAAGCGTTATTGATGTCTAGTTGATGAATATGCCATGCTTTTGAAGGTGTCACAGCCAAGAAAGTGCGTATGGTGGTCATCCTTGCTATGGGTGAAAAAGTTTCAAGATAATCAATTCCCAACTGTTGGGTGTAGCCATTAGCTACTAACCTGGCCTTATACCGTTCCACCGAGCCATCCGCTTTAAGCTTCACCTTGTATACCCATTTGCATCCAATTGGAGTTTTCCTGGGTGGTAGATCAACCAAGATCCATGTGTGATTATCTTCCAGTGTATTGATTTTAGCAGTCATAGCCTCTTTCCAGCAATCATTACCTATGGTTTGATTATAAGTTCTAGGCTCATTGATAGAAGTGACTGCCATAGAAAATTGCATGTGTGGCATAGGAAGATGATTGTATGAGATAACTTTTGATAGCTTGTGAGGAGAAGTACCTTGTGATGTGGCTGCATCACAGTAATAGTCTAAGAGCCGGTTCGGAACATGACGATTTCTATCAGAACGTTGAGGTTGAATATCAACAGAGACAGGAACTGTAGGTTGTATCTCAGACAAAGACTCCGAGACACTAGTGTATGGCTGAACATTAACTGTCTGTTCATCCTCATGAGATACACTATCATCTGTATGTTAATTCCCATGCAATATACTATAAGCTGCATGCCTATTCCCATGTGATACACTATCATCTGCATTTTCATAGCTAATATCATTCCCAGAACATCACTTCGAATGGTTTTGATCAACTTCCCAAACTGTGTAACCACATATGCATGAAATTTTTTGACAAACTGCCGTGTTTGAGCTTTAGTTTTCATCAAATGAATCCATGTAAATCGAGAATAATCATCAACTATAGTAAGAAAATAATACTCTCCATTCAAAGAACAAACCGGGAAAGGTCCCAAAATGTTAACATGTATCAAATCAAAGCAATTACTCTAGCTAGTATTACTTAAAAGGAAGGGAGATCGTTTGTGTTTAGCTAGGTGGCAGACAGCACAAGCTAGAGTACTTCCCTTTGAAGTATCCACATCACATAGGAGATGAATTTAGTTGGTTGGAAAGTGGCCTAACCCCTTTGATGCCAAGTTTCCAAGTTAGTGCACTGTGCAACAAGCTGCTTATTCTGCATAGAGGCCTCCCTTTTCCTTAACTATACTAGTTGTCTGCCCAAGAGTCCCCGGGATCACACACTGTTTGGCCATAAAGATTAGTCTATAGGCAGCATCTTGTATGAGCTTGCTGACAGAAATGATATTAAATTTAAAAGTGGGGATATGTAATGCTTCCTTTAGATATAAATTGTCATTAAGCCTTCCATCTCCTATGTGCTGAACTGCTATGCACTGACCAGTGGGAAGGTTCACTTCAACACCATTAACCACATGATAATTGATAAAGCAATCAAGTGAACACACTATGTGATTAGTGACCCCCGAGTCAAGAATCCAAGTTGAAGCTGTAACACCCCGTGTTACGACCCCTAAGACAGATTAATCATTTAATCAATTGCCCAAGAGAGAATTAAATTACAATAATTAATTGGGAAAAAGGCCCACCATAGTTCGTGGGCCCTCATCTCCAAACCCAACCCCTAGTCCTAGAAGGAATAGACCCTAAATAAGACCCCTGGATATATAAATAGGGAACCTAGAAGGCACCTAGAACCCCCACCACAATAATCTCTCACCACACCAAGAATTCCAAGAATTCCCCTAGGAGAAATCAAGAAAGAAGAAAGGTTAAAGAAAGACCCTTCATAGCCAAGGAATTAATTAAGGCTAAGAGGTAACCCATGTCTCAACAAAACCTATTTTCATAGCTATGATTCCCCTCTTAGGATTTCCCCCATATTCTTGTGTGTTGATGATTCGTTATAATGATCTTGATAATTGGTGTTATGATTCCATGGGTAATCTTGATGATAAGAGGTTCTTGACGATTATATGGTGTTCTTGGTGTTCTTGATGATTATATGATGTTCTTGATGTTTATATAATATTCCTACCGAATCTTGATATTAGAAGATGAATTGTATTCTTGTTGATTTAAAAATAATTAGAACCCTAGGTTATATCGTGGAATTCATATGGTATTATTCTTGGTAGATTGGGTGGGAAATTGTATGTTTGGGTGTTGATTATGTTTAGAAAAGCATGATACGTTATGTGCCGTATGTTTCTTGATTTTGATCCGTTAATTGTCTACGTGTGTTATCAATTGCGTTTGAAAGTGTCTAAGCATGGTTCCGGGTTCCACGGTGATTCCCGGGGCGTTTATTTGTGAAGAAGAGTCAGTGGGGGGTAGGGGACCCGCCACCTACCCGCGGCTAAAAGTGGCATCGCCGGCAACGGGCGGGCAGCTGCCCGCCGGGCACCCGCTGCCCGGAATAGTTGCCGCCGGCGGGTGAACCCTCACCCACCGACTACCCGCTGGTTTGCACCCCAATTCGGGATTTTCGCTTCCCCGTTTGATGTTCCTCCGACCCCCGTGGTGTCCCAACGGACTCCGTCTATCGTGCCTATGTCTAGTTCGATATTTCGGGTACCGTTCGTAGGTCGTATAAGTCTTATATATTGCATGCTAGTTGAATTGGTATCCCGTTGACCTAGGTGAAAGAAGTATGAACCCCTTAGGATTATTCTTAGTATGTGAAGGATCACGCATAGGTTTTGTTATACGTTTCCCCCCCCCCCCCCCTTCCCAATGTGCTAATGTGGGTTGCATGTGCTTGCTATGTGTTATATGTACATGTTACCCCGATTTGGTTGCGATCAATCGGGTTATACGGGCAGTCGGATGGGTTGAGAACCATACCGACTGTTAACCAGGCCGGTTGCGATCGGTCAGGTATATAAACATTATATAGGGCTGCGGTCCACCGTTTGGTTGCGATCAAATGGATTATACGGGCAGTCGGATGGGTTGAGAACCATACTGACTGTTAACCAGGCGGGTTGCGATCGGTCAGGTATATAAATATTATATAGGGCTGCGGTCCACCGTTCTACATGAGCTGCGGTTCATTTTCCTGGCTGCGGTCAGATGACATACTCTTGGGCTGCGGTCCACTGTTTGGTTGCGATCAAACTATGATGAGCTGTGGTTCATCGGTCGGTTGCGATCGACCCCTCCGTATTGTGAGACGGGGCAGGGTGCTGCGGGGCCGTGTCAGAGCTATATGCGCTGACCCTCATGTATGGGCATGCGATTGGTCCTGTGGCGCCAACAAAGTGTGCTTATGTGATGAGATATGGATGAGTTGTGATTATGAGTATCTTGGGGATGTGACTACGGGATTTACGTTGGGGATTGTTTATGTTGGGTTATGATTATTGATTATGCTCAGCCTTATCTACCTTGCCTGTTGCGAACTATATATGCTTGCTATCACTGCCGTTTGTGCTTAGCTCTATGTGTCGAGTCTATCCCTGTTTTAAAAGCTAGAGTTCGTGGGATATATCTTCATGTTCAAAATGGTTTTCGTATATCTATATATATCTCTATATGTATTATATTTCAACGCGTTGGAGTGGGTTACCAGCATCTCTCGCTGAACAGATATATTTGGCTTTCAGGCACGGACGAGTAGATCACTGGAGCGCGCTAGAGGTTGGGGCGTAGATTAGATAGTTCTTCCCTTTCGACCTGCGTGCCATGATTTGTATTGATACTGATTGAGATTGTTAGAACTTAGCCTGTGCACCTGAGTTCTCTAGCTCAGGTGTGGCATAACACCCCGTGACCTTATAAACGCATTTTGGGATTTAGAATCATTTACCTTTATTATATTGTCTTTAAAAGTTTTAAAAATCCAGGGGTGTTACAGAAGCAGTTAAGTATAGAGAATTAATAGAGAGCTTGCCTTCATCAGATGCCTGTAGCTCTTTGAAAATGGGAGTCAGAGTTGTTGCAGCAGTCAATTTGGAATTGGATCCGGATGACTGAGCAGAATGGCTCTACAACATTGAGATGAATTTATGCAGTTGTTCATGAGTGATCCCCAGGCCTGCTTCATTAAGAACAGTTGTTGTAGTTTATTGTTTATTCTTCGACTTATAACCTTGAATCCAGCCAGGAGGAAAGCCGTGTTTCTTGTAACATCTATCTACTGTGTGACCAGTCATGCCACAGTAGGTACACTTTGCCTTAGCAACACCCACTAGTACAGAAACAGTCATTCGCGTCCAAAGTTAAGGCTAATTCGTGTCCAAAGTAGCTGGGACGCAGATGGCAGGGACGCTGATTGTATAAACAATCAGCGTCCAAAGTAGCGTTGGACGCGCAAAATGATTATTCGCGTCCAAAGTTGAAGAACTTTGGACGCGAAAAATGATAATTCGCGTCCAAAGTTCGTGAACTTTGGACGCGTATAGTGTTTATTTATTTTTTAAAAAAATACTATACGCGTCCAAAGTTTCTAAACTTTGGACGAGTATAGTAAAAAGAAATTAAAAAAAAAAAATTCCTGTACATCCCAACATAACTACCAAATAATATATTTCAACATTAATCAATTTAAGATGTATACTACACACCAATTCTATCAACTAAAACACACCAATCTAAAATTTCAATTCTAATAACATTTTACTACAAATAAACTACAAATTCTAAATGTTAACAATTAAAATAAATTACTTAAGATGTAATATTGTGATAACCTTTATCAACCACATAAAATATCCTCATGCTCAAAGCAAGAAAAATGTCCTGGGAATCCAAACAATCACAGAAGTTCAATACCCAAAATCAATGTAAAACTAAGGCCTAAAAGCTGAAATTCACACAAACAACAAGAAAACAAACACTTGGGACTACTTTACCTCTTGCAAGACCAAGAGTACATTGAAGCCATGCCTCTGCCCTCAAAACATTAAGCCTCTCAATTACATCTTTAGAGAAAAAAACAAATTTTCAGTTCAACACCTTAGAATGAAGTAAATTTTGCCACATAACCCACATTTGGCCTTTCCAACCAAACCTCTAGTAGAAAACCCGATTACATATTTACATCATGTTTCCAATTCAAGACCATATAGTTTCTCCCCAAAAGTGTCAAAGCGTTGAAGCTGTTATGGTTTTGAACTAGAAATGTGATGAATTTTGACTGGTTTATACCAAATGTGGCAAAAGTAATACTTGAGGATCAAATGTAGAAGTGACCTATTAGTCATGGGACCAAAAGTGAAAATAATTCTAAAGTTGATTTACATACCTGTTACTTCTTCTTTGTAATGCTTAATTTCCTTACTTGTCATTTGTATTGTTGATTTGAGTTCCTTCACACTCTCCTCAACCTCTGACAAATCATTCTTTAACTTGATAAGTGTTGCCCCGTGTTGCCCCCAATTTGGTAATCCTTGAATCCATTTCCCGCTTCTGCTTATTGAGTTGAACAAGTTCACACCATCATCATCATCATCATCATCATCAGCTCTCCTCTCCGCCTCGAACTCATCCTTTCCACCCATATCCATTTTTAAAAAACTAGAAAAATTCAGAAAGAAAACAGGCAGCACTGGTTGAATTTTCCAGGAAAAACACCAAAATTAGAGAAACTCAACTGCAAAAGATCCATCATTTTCAGGGTTCTAGATACAATTTAGAAAACTATAGAGAAATTGGATAACATAACAATTTGATCTTTACACCATATTAGAAAACAATGGAGAAATTGGATAGCATAAACAGTTTGATCTTAACACCATATTAGAGATATTTCAAAAGTAAGCCCAACAATATGCAAAACATATGAAATATTGAATAGCTACCCTCAAAGAGTTATTAGAGATATTTCTTGAAGCATAAATCAAGCAACAAAGGTTGAATTGCACTCTATTTTTAAATATCTAACCAGGGATGGTTAGAGCTCTCTTAAATGGAGTAATGTAGTTCAACATCATTGCCTCATTTGTTAAACACATGGAATCAACCAACTCATTCAGACATAACAAAGCTTTAACCTTTACCCAAATTCAAAAATACTAATTCAGGAGAATAAATTAATAAATTGTTAACTATTGGTCTATTCTTAAGTGTTAGTGTGTTACTACAATGGGTTATAAGCATCTATATAAAGTTCTAAACCATAAATGCAATGGCTAATAGAAGATCTGGACCTTGCATTAGATCTTGTTGAAAGAGCAAGAAGGCTGAATGCTCCATACACCTAAGCAAGAAAAGCATTACCATAATCACAATCCATATAAATTGGTTAGTTTACATGGCCAACAATAGCCTAAAAGTTAAAATTGCAATAGCAACCTGTGTAAGTTTGCCCATTAAAGTCAAGAATCACTCACCAGTTTATCAATGGTGAGTCCGGTATTTCATGAAAATAAATCTACAATTTGGGAATGCTGTTAATAAAATAGTCTTGTAAAATTAAATGAACTTTTGTATTCCTGACCTGTATATATGCATAATCGCCTTGGACCGTGTTACAAAGAATACAGGGAGCTTGAATACACTCAAATCAAACCAAATCATGTTTGCCTTGATTTGAATTGCTTGCAATCCTAATGCTTTATTGCTTTTAAGTGATAATTTTAACTGTTAGACATTCATAAAATACAATCACAACTCAAAATTGTCAGAAAATGGTGAAAAGAGAAACCTAATTCAAAAGGTCTTAAGTAGCACATTCTTCCTTTCAAAAAAAAAGTAGCACATTCTTAGAAAGTTAAATGTGGACTAAGAGGAGACTGCATTGCCCCTTTTTTTCACTGTAAATTCCAGTCAAGCCCTGTTTTGCGCTTCTATAAACCGCATACTTAATGGCAGTTATTTACTGTTGCGAATGCAGAAAAAAGAAACTAACAATATACTTTATTACAGAGAATAAAAATAGCAAATATCAAAGAAATCATTCCAAAACACCTTCTGCCAGGTTTAAATCCCATACCTTAAATGATCTTGTGCTGGCAATCCATACTCCAGTTCTCAACCACTGCCACCATTTCCTGTCTTTTTTAGCTGAGCCACAGATCCTGTCCTTTTGGAAATGGTAACTTTTGCTTACAATGCTTTTCATTTACAATAGCTTGAGTATCTCTACCATTGTAAAATCGAGTTGATGCACAGTCCAAGGCTCCAAGCTGCCAAAAGAATTGAATAATTAAACAGAACTGTCAACTTCCGAGAAGTTTAATACAAAGCACCAACTTTATGTTACAAAGAATCAGAATATTGTAACAAGACTTGTAATGAGAGTGACCAGGTCCCCTCCCTGCAAGGATGTTATGTTCCCGGGCAAACGCACACGTCACATGGCGATTACGATTATTGGGGGTTGTTTGTAGGTTGTCTATGTTGAGAGATAAAGTAAAGGGATTAGGGAGCAAGGATAATAGGAACGTTTTGAGAGTTTTCCCACATCTGATTTTAACTTAACTTCTTTCTTGCTTGTCCCCTTTATTAAAATGGAAATCCCCAGAGGGTTACAAAGACTAAATAAAACATAAAAAGGAAAGGAGAAGCATTAAAGCTCCTTACCATAATTAATCGCTATCTCTAAAGGAAATAAATCATAAATCAATTATAATAATAAAGATTTTAGAATCAATTTTCTTAATCATACGAAAGGACAAAACAATAGTTTAGCCCTCCCTATCAAAAAACAAAGAGAGTACTGATATCCAGCAAACCTGGGAAAGACTTTCCGAGGTATGCTAGGGGTTATAACACACAAATGCTTAGCACAATCCCAAAAAATGCATGTACACATCACCTTATTGCTTTCATCTTTGACAAAAAATAGTAGGAATTCTCTAGGTCAGAGCAAATTGAAGTAAGAGAGAAGTAAAGTCTAAATAGAGCACCTAAAATAGATAAACCAAAGGTAAAACAATTTATATAGATGAGTACATACTGAAAATGCCCATGAGCAATAACCAAAGGGAGCAACAGCCACATCTTGAAAGCCAAAAACTGCTTATAATATATTCCCACCACCATGAACATTTATATGAAATAAGGTTCATAAGGTGACAGAAAATCAAGCTACACTCAATGTATCTTATCTATTCCTTCATGGTGGTTATGCTAGGAATTGAGAACTTCTGCTCCGGTAGTGATGAGGAGGATTCATTCCTAGACCTTTTTGTTCTAGAGTTGGAAGGTTTCTTGTAAATCACACCACAACTGTGCTGGTAACTACTATTGATGCCAAAGAAATTCTTGCAAATTTTTGCGTTTTCGTGTGTATGCATTCTCTGGCTTGACAATATCTTTGAGAGAGGAATGGGAAGACACATCCGATAGACTGGTAAAAGATTTGGATTTACCATCATAGAATTTCGATATACCTCTCCTCAAAATGGGAAAAGAGGAAATATGAGGACTATGAAGCTAGCATAACACTCTATTAACGCATTTTCCCCTAGGAATAAACATTAACTAGTTAAAGAAATTTCATCACATGTGAATAGGGCTGTGCAATACCCGAACTACCCGAAGAATCCGCCCGACCCGAACCAGCGCTTACCGAACAGAGATGAAATCCGACGAGTTCGGGTCATATCCGAACCGACCCCACGCAACGTGGCTATTAAAGACGGACGGGTAGGGTTAGGAAATATCCCATCCGAACTCGTCCGAGATCCGAAATATGGCCTAAGTATAAAACGTTGCGTAGACCTAGGGTTTGCCATTCTCTCATTCTCCACTCGGCCACTCCCCACTCCCCAGAGCTTCTTCTCGAAATCTCCTTAGTCTCCTACTCTCCTCTAGCCATCCCCATCCGATCTTCAGTCCTTCTCATCTAATCTTCTTCCTTAATCTCCTTCTCCGGTGAATCTCTGATTCTCTGAAGTCTGAACTCTGAGTCTCAACTGAGAGTCTGAGAGTATCTGTGGTTCTGAACTCCCCTTCGACTCCTTCGAGGCTTCGAGTCTTCGACAGTTCGACGGGAATCTTGTGGAAGTGTCGGGAATCTTGTGGAAGTGTCTGTGGCTCTGTGCAAACTGGAAAGACGGCAAGAAGGAAGAAGCCGGACGACAGTGGAAGTGGAAGTTTGACGCCTTGAAGCCCTAGATCTCAGAGGGAACCTTTAAGAAAACAAGTAAAATGTAACTCTGTCATTTTTTTCTTATTTTCCTGTTGCATGTTTGTGAGTTTGTCTGTTCTGTTCTAGTTCTATGATGTTGTATGCACCCTAATTTGTAATTGAACCCTAATTTTAAGGGGTTTCCACATACGTGATGAATTTGTGCTTATTCTGATATGTGATGAATTTGTGCTTATTCTGATATGTGTTTGTAAGTTTATGGTTAAAGGACCCTTAAATTTGTTATTTCAAAATGTATGGTGGTGGTGGAAGTGTGGAACTGTGGAAGCCTACTGAATTTGTAATTGATATTATGAATTTGTGCTTATGAATTTATGATGTCCACGTTGGAAGCATACTGAATTTGTAAATTGTAATACTGTTGAATGTTGTTGAATACTTGAATTGTTGATGGTTGACTATGGAAGTGTTAAGCCCTAATTTGTGACCATTTCCATAAAATGATGAGTTAATGATTCATGAATCATGACTCCTGATTATGGAATGAATTTGTTAATGTGTTATATACTTATATGTAATTAAGTCCTAAAATCAGGACTCCATAAAATGAGGAGTTCATGAATCATGAATCCTGATTATGCAATACATATCACTATGACAGTGTATGGCCTTATGTGTGCTTGTGTGAAATTTGAATCCTATTTGCTCATCCATAAATCTTTATAGATGGAGAGCAATCAAAATATAAGTGGAAGTGGAACTGGACCTCTTCCATCTTCAACAGTGGATGAACAAGGAGTACAAACCCCAGGCATTGAGACAAGTGCTCAACAGCCTATGGCCACTCCTAAAGTTCCTGCTGTTAAGAAGAGGAAGGAAATAGAGTCTAGATCCATAGTGTGGGAGCACTTTGAACAGATCAAAGATCCTGAAACTCATAAAGTGCTTAAAGGCAAATGCCTTTACTGTGCAAAAGAGTATTTTTGTGAAACTAAAAAACATGGCACATCATCATTAAGAAATCATATGGGCAATTGTCTTAAAAATCCCCATTCAAAGAATATAAGGCAGTCTCTACTCACATTCAACACTCTGTCCACTTCTGAGGGTGGAACAGAGGCTCCTGTGGGTGTTTTGGGGACATGGGTATTTAATCAAGATGCCATTAGGGGGGCCCTTTGTGAGATGATAATCATAGATGAGCTCCCTTTTAGGTTTGTAGAGGGCCAGGGGTTCAAGAGGTTTATTCTGGTTGCTTGTCCTAGGTTTCTTATCCCTTCTAGGTGGACCATTTCTAGGGACATCTACCAAATATTTCTTGATGAGAGGCTAAACCTTAAGAAGTTGTTTAGAGTGGGAACTCAAAGGGTTAGTCTAACAATAGATACATGGACTTCTGTCCAGAGAATCAACTATATGTGCATTACTGCACATTTTTTAGATGACCAGTGGAAGCTTCAAAAAAAAATTATATCCTTTGTCCCAGTTTCTTCTCATAAGGGGGAGTACATTGCAAAAGCCCTAGAGAGTTGTTTATTAGAGTGGGGAATTAAGAATGTATTTACTGTAACAGTGGATAATGCCTCCTCTAATGACACAGCTATGGGGTTTTTTAAGAGTAAACTGTTATCTTGGGGTTCTTCTTCTGTTAAGGTTCAGTACATGCACATGAGGTGCATAGCCCATATCCTCAATTTAGTGGTCCAAGATGGGTTGAAGTTTGCAGATGAGTTAGTTAAGAAGGTGAGGGATGCAGTGAGATGGGTTAGGAACTCACCAGCTAGGCTGACAAAGTTCAGAGAGTTTGCTGAACTGTTTGGTGTGGAAGCTAAATCAGCTTTGCATCTTGATGTCCCTACAAGGTGGAACAGCACCTACATTATGCTCAACACTGCAATTCAATATCAAGTAGTGTTTGATGCATATGAGAGAAATGACCCCTCTTATTCTACTGACTTGGGGAGTGCTCCTACCTTCTTGGATTGGTGTTCTGTGGAAAGCTTAGTGAAGCTGTTGAAAGCATTTTATGATATGACAGTGAGGATCTCTGGTTCACTTTATGTCACATCTAACACATTCTTCTCTGAGATCTCTGATCTTAGTTGCATGCTTGAAGCTATGGTGAACTCTGAGCAGGGGACTGAAAAGGTAATCTCATTTATCTTTCAATTTGTTTGCTTATTGTTTTTTGTATTTCCTGTAATTCTGTTAACTAATAAATTGTTTTTTTTCTGTTTTAGGCAATGGGGACACAAATGAGGAACAAGTTTGACAAATATTGGGGGGATCCAGAAAAAATGAACTCTATCATTTTTTTTGCCAATATTCTGGATCCCAGAGATAAGTTGGAGTACATGCCTCATCAATTTGTCCAGTTGTATGGAGAAGAGGAAGGCAAAGCTTGTTTTACCAAGGTCCAATCTGCAATGGCTGCTTTATATGATGACTATGCAGCTACATACTCTCTCAGTTCTACCCAGACAGCATCCTCTACTCAAGCAGTCCAGTGTGAGGCTAACCAGGCTACTACTTGTACAGTTGGTAGGCCTCAATCATCTTTGAAGAGCCAACTTAAAAAAAAGAGATTGGAAAGTAGTGGAAGCAGTAAGCAAACTGAGCTGCAAGTATACTTAAGTGAAAGTCTTGTGGAGGATGATGAATCTGTCCCATTTGATGTGTTAAAGTGGTGGAAGAGCCATAGTGAGAGATTTTCTATTCTCTCCAAAATGGCTAGAGATGTCCTTGCAGTTCCTATCTCCACAGTTGCTTCTGAGAGTTGTTTTAGTACATCTGGAAGGGTACTTGATCCATTTAGGAGTTCCTTGACTCCTAAAATAGTGGAAGCACTAATATGTACTCAAGATTGGTTGAGGGCACCTAATTAGCCAATCCAAGTTGAGGAGAACCTGGAGGAGGTTGAAAGATTAGAGAAAGGTAACCCTTATCACTTTCTTAGTTACTTTTTTTTTTTATTATACTAAGTTTATTTCCTTTTCACTTTCTTTCTTACTTATTATGTTTTTCACTTTTGCAGAATTGCCCACTGGAGCTTCATCTACTATACCATCAATGTTGCCTACAATCACTGTAATGTTTTTAATATCAGTTTACAATGTGTTCATTTCTTTACTGAGTTTGATATTATGTTATGTACTCATGTTGTTGCAAGTGGTGTTTAGCCTCTAAGTGGCTTGGCAACTTTCTGTTATTGATTTGTTGCTGCCATTAGATGAGTTGAGCCCAATTTTGCCCATTTCTCTGCACTCTGGAATTATGGTATAACTCTTCCTTGCTCTGTTTTCAGTTTGAATGTATTTGTTTTATTTGGTGGCTATGATGAAGCTTCCACTATTGTCTGAATAAATGGAATGGAGTTGGTATGTTGCCAATGTGTTAATATAACACATTCAGAGCAATTTGCCCACATTCTTACTTGATATGGAAAAATGCACTCTGAGCCACTTAGCGTAGTGAATAATTGCTTAGTATTGTTACTCTAAATGTCTGATTGTCTGTTTTCTAAACTCTAAACACTAATATCATTTTAAGTTTGAATACTAGCAGGAAGAAGAGTAGATTATCTAGATGACTATATTAGTGTTGATTTTGCTGAATTGCTGAAAGAAGAACTGAAGAGTACCGGTGCTGACAGCTCAAGTCTATGATTTTTTGTATAATCATTGGAATTCGAAAATATGTAATTATTAACTTAGTTTGAAACTGTTATAGTTGTATAGTAGTATGTTTTGCTAGTTGCTACGCTATGGTAATGAAACTCAGTATTACTATTATCTATTTTAGAATTTTTAGAATTTAGAATTTGTTTTATTTTAATTTATTATATCCGATTTCAATCCGAAATCCGACAACGGATATCCGAAATCCGAACCTATGCAATCTGATAGGATCTGTCCAAAAAAATAAACGGATAGGGGGGTACAAAAGAAATCCGAAATCCGATCGGATGGACGGATTGGACATCCAATCCGTCCGAATCCGATCGATGCTCAGCCCTACATGTGAAAGATACAAGGAAATGTCCAATTGATTTCAACTTCAATATATCCAAGCAGAGAAATAAGCAGTAGTGAAGATTGCAGCATTTCAGAAAATATCAGGTTCTTTTTGCATGATCAAATGTGGACCAAATATCTGGATATATTTTTTATCATATAATTATATATTCACTGGACATCACCTAAGAACATTATCTGAGTGTCAGAAAGAAAATACTCCAGGACCTTTCCCTAATGACACTTGTAGACCTTCTAAACATGCAAGTCATTATTCATATTCTTCTTGCCATCACAATAATTTTACGGTTTTACCAGCCTAAACCCTAAAATAAAATTTAAAAATAAAATTAATTTTCAGATTACATTTTTTCTATTGGCCAGTATCTATGGCATGCACTGCCCATATATTGAATAATGAAACTTTTGTAGGTTCTTGGCCAGTAATTTATCTTTCAAATCCAGTACATTCTTGATTGCTAACCCCATTTATTGTGTGTAACATTTATGATAAATACTGCGAGTTACATAAATTGATTTCTTGAAGATGCAATACATTAACATATCTAATTTAGATTCTAATGAAGTAAGCTCATAATTTCAACCCTTCACAGTCAGTGGAACATTAGTCAAGAAAACACATGCATCTATTTCTTAATCCACATCATACTGAATACAGAAATGAATTAACATTCAATAGTTCACATACATAAATAGAATGCAAAAAGTCCTAACATTGTGGTAACATTTAACTGCAATTAAATGATGCACATATACTAACACATAAACCTAACTATAACATCAAATTTACTGTCAAAAGTACCGCCAAACTATGAAATTAACAGCAATAATCACATGGCATTACATAATATAGGAAAATTTGAAGAAAAAGTTTAATAAAATACGAGAAAGGGATCAACGCTACATACTTCAACGGCAAAGCTTCCTCCAAGTGCTCCAAACTGTCGAGAGCACCACCTTTTGCCGAGCTCTGCACTTCCTCACCATCACCGTCGACATCACCAGCAGCTGCAGAGTCATAGCTGATCCTCCCAATAGAAGAGGAGGACAACGAAGAACTGCGACCATCATCATTCTCCACAATGGCCTTGCCACGCTGTCCTGAGACGGAGAACTCTGGCGGTGCGAGTGTGGGGAGAAGGCGGGATTGGGTGGGCAGAAACAGGAAGATGCCATAGAGAGAGAGAGAGAAAGGTCGGAGCGGATGAAGGTCGGAGCGGATGAAGATTAGAGCAGATGGAGATGGTTTACGCTGGGTTGCTAGGGTTTGGATTAAAAAAATAATTCGCGTCCAAAGTTTGCGACTTTGGACGCGAGTATGAATGAGATTCTATTATTCGCATCCAAAGTATTGAGCTTTGGACGCGAGTGATGGATGAGATTCTATTATTCGCGTCCAAAGTATTGAGCTTTGGACGCGAATAATAGAAGACTTTTATTATTGGCGTCCAAAGTACAGAGCTTTGGACGCCAATACTGTTTTAAAATTAAAAAAAAAAAAGAAATTAATTATATAGTGACATTTTAATTATAAAAATGCCACCGCATTACACTTTAGGCATCCAAAGTTCTAACTTTGGACGCGAATTAGTCGATTTTATTGATGTTTTTTGTACTAGTGACCATTGTTTCTTCTACCATTATATGAAGTTGCAGCCACCGTTTCTTCACTCAAAGTACTTTGAACAACATTAGACTAATTAATAACTAGGTTTCCTAGATTCAAATTTCTCAAACTAATCTGCCTTTCTAGTTTTTCAGCCATAACAAAATCCTTGTATACCCCCGGCAAAGGATCTAGGACCAACACACTTGATTTTAGACTATCATAATCATCATTCAAACCTTGAAGGAATAGGATTACCTAATCAGTTTCCCTTTCACTTCTGATGACTTCAACGAGATCACAAGAGCATCTCGGATTGCATTTACACACGGGAATTGGCCTTAGGTTGTTCATCTGCTCCCACAAGGTTCTGCTCCTAGTGTAATAATCGTTAACAGATAGGTTTCCTTGTTTTAGATTGTGGATCTCACTCTGTAGACTTGAAATTCGTTGTGCATCCCTCTGCGAATAGCGTTTCCTCATATCCTCCCATATGTCTTTGGCGTGATCAAAGTGCATCACACTTTGCACTATCGGAGAATGTAGCGATTTGAAGATCCAAGAGCAGATCATCAAATTGCACCTCCTCCAAGCCGGATAATGTTGCTGATCTCTGCTCGGTGGCGTTGTGCTCCCATCCACTAACGTCCACTTGTTCTTCACTTCTAGAGCAATTCGCATAGAGACACTCCAGGTGCAATAATTTGAGCTGCCGGCAAGCGACGGAGTCACGAGGACGGCCGATGGACTGTCGTTGGCATTTAAGTATAGAGGATCTTCTAGATCTCCAGAGTTGAAGTTTCTGTGAACCTGAGGTGTTGTAATCCCCTGCGGATTCAACTCAGGTACTGGATGAGCCGGAGGTTGGTTGACCGGCGTAGCCACATGACTGGTGTCGCCGATGCCGGTGAGTACGGCGGTGTAATTGCGCCGCTGCTCTGATACCATGTCGATTTGTCTATCGCATGAAAAGAAGAGGGAGGGAGGGAACGAGAGTAGAGAGAATAAGGTTATTATTTCTAGTAAAAGATTAACAGACATAAGCAACATATATACTTTGGACGTAGAGCTTGGCAGTTATAACTGTCCAGAGATAAGAAAGACATAAAAGTCCTCAAGATCATTTTTCATCATATAATAATTTATTACACTATTCATCGGTTGCTGGTTGCCTAGCTCTGGAATCACCTACTTCAACTTTACTAATCAAAATTTATTTTCTTTTTTCCTATTCTCTCTTTCTACGGCTGTTTTTTTTTTTTTTTTTTTTTTTTTTGAGGTTTTGGATAAGAAATTTTCTTCTTCACTACTTGTTTGGACTCAAAGATGCATCTCTCTCTTTTTTTTCTTGTCTGTGTCTGCTTAGAATATAAATTCACTCAATAGGATACAATGGTTATAGTTCTTCTCTTTGCTTAGTTTCTCCCAAATATATACTTCTATGAATTTTTCTTCGGAATTGATAATTGGTAGTGACGTAGTGTTGAGTTTTTCATATGCTTTTAATTTAAGATAATAAACAGATGACATGGATAAGAAGGAACATTAAGAAGTTTAATTTGCATGGAAATTGGAATACGATGAGTAGAAACCTTGCAGGCTTGCAGCACAGAATATCTAAAAATTAAATCGGTTCCTTTATTCCCTTCAAAAAAATAAAAACGGTGCCTTTCTAGGAAGAGGGTCGATGAAGAAACCCAACACGAAGAACAGTGAAGAAGACGGTGTGTCTGTGCGTAGCTTAGGGATTTAGGGATAGGTATGGTTAATTTGATTAATATTCTTTATAACAATTGTTTTTCATAAAAGAAAGTAAGTATGGAGTAATATATTAAAAATTATTATAATTTGCATAAAAAGATTCAATTAAATTTGACTTTACATTTTTATTAGGTGGCGCACTATGATTCACTTATACATTGGATTTAGAATTCTTTAGTATGCCTTTTTTTAAATGACTATTTGTTTGCAATTATCTTTGAGAAATCATGGGTATGGGAGATTCAAAGTTGGTGGATAATAATGCAAAGGCTTGGTGGATCTTAGTAGCAGTGATAACTTGCAGTTTGAAAATGATAAATTCATCTAATGAGTATATTTTTTTTGGAGTCGTAACTTGCTACTGTAAAGTTATTTTTACATTTCCATTATTGATCCAACACATTGTTACATAGGATATGCTTGACGATATACTCACATTCCAGAGGAATAGTTTGCCCCATGTGTGGTGATCGTCGTGCTGCAGACGCAAATACAGAGGCGGGGAAGAAAGAAGGGTCGACCATGAAGAGTAAGTCATCACATGCTTCATGGAAGAGCGAGACAAAGATGGTCCTGTGCCATTAGTTTGATTAGGCTTACGTTTTGCAGTTTGATGTAGATTTTCGAAGAAGTCAAGAACTTAGTTAAGCAATCAAGCCACGTCTATAGATCAAATTTGATGATTTGGAACATTCTCTTGTGACCCATTGGGGTACTATTTTCATTTGTGAGGTAACATCCTCTGAACCAGCTCTATTGTTATATGTTTTTTATTTATTTTTTTAAATTATTACTTGTTTTAGGATAGTATTGTGATTTTGGTAATGAGAAATGTTCTGACATTACAATTTACAAGGACATGTGTATTCCTGCAACACCAGTCTATTTAAATTTCATCAATATTGAGAGTAGAGTAGAAGTGGCAATTTGGATGAGGGCAATTAATTAAGCACCTTTCAATTCCGAGCATGCTGCATAGAAACATTAACTACTCAATTCGTACCTCGATTATATTCTCAATGAATATGCATCACTTGAATCTTCCATTGATGCACCATTTTGCATTTACATGCTTCCAAAAGATATCTATATGTTTACATGCTAATGTGCATGCTTTATTACTTCGATGCCATGATTTACAAATGATTATTTTTTTTTCTGAAATTTGATTGCTAATATTTTCAGAAATTATAATAATCAGTGCTATGATTTGAAAATAGTCAACGGTGGGTGGGTGAAATAACATGTTTACATATTGTATATGTTTCTTTTTCTTTATGTTAAAATTAATTTTAAAATGATTTTTAAATTAATTTTTTTTGTTATTTCCATAAATATATCCCTTAAACCAATTCTTTGTGCATTTAGAATATGAGATTTTCAAAACATCCACCAACATAGTAAAAAATAATGTCCACCAATAATATGTTCATTAAATTAATTAATCTAATGTTAGTAAGAGTTCAAATTTGTTGTAATGTTCTAAAAGATTACTAAAATAGTCTATATATTATATACAACATTTTGTTATTAATAATGATGTATTATTAGTGTTTAATTTATCATGATCATGTTTAGAGTTATAATTGTATCATGTTGCTACCTAAATAATGTATTTATGTATGCTTTTATTTATTCATACGATAATTATTAAAATTTATATATATTATCATTTAAAATTAGAATACATCAATTGATCATTGGACATGAGTTTCGCGCAAAGCGCGTGCCCGCGACTAGTATGTACATATAAACCATACTATTTATATTAGATACATAAAAAATTATATTATTAATAATCAATAAAAGGTGTATGTGACATACATAGAATATAAAATCTTCCCTTAATAGCTACAATAAGGTAAAGTTTATAAATGCATGTGTCACACCCCTATAAGCGAATAGAACTATTAAAAACAAACTTTTACCCAATCATATTAGCTATTATTAAAGTTTATGCTAGGAGAATTCTATTCAATCTTCATCTTTTTATCCATAACTAGAATTTTCACACGTGCAATGCACAGAATGAATTTGTTGTAATATATTAAGAATATTTGGATGAATATATAATTATTTAAATTATAAAATTAAATATTATATAGTGCAATTAAACATATGTTTTGAATCGTTTATGTGTTTTGATGTTATCATTGCTTGAATTTGAACAAATAATTGCTAAAATTAATAGCTAATCGTTGGCTGGTGAGAAGATGCAGGAGTTGGAGAAGAGGAAGCAATTTCTTCTGCAGCTACGCAATGACCTGCCAGCCGCTGCAAGCATTGGCGGCGTCCCTCCGCCACCACCTGCGCCGGATTTTGCATCTTGGTTCATTCCGGCCATGGCGCCTCCGCCGACTCGCGACGGCGGTGGTGGTGAGGATACTCATCAATACATGATTTTCTCTGATGCATGCTGATTTCAATCAAGTTTGGCCTTACAACTTCTCATCATCTTTTTAAAATTACTGAAAAGATTTGACATTGCAATTTGCTGTCATGTTTCTTAGAACTTGTTTGAATTGGAGTATGCTGTATGTTACTGTGTTACTTTTGTGTGTTGTTGTTTTTTTATTTAGTATTAATGAATGGAGTATTTATAATTGGAAAAACAATTTATTTTGATTTTGATTGGTTGATTATATTGTTTAATGGTATTAATTAGATTAATACACGAAGTAAATGAACCATAATAATGTAACAAAACTAGAATTGA